CTTAGGTCTACTGAATGCATTTGTAACTTATGGGTTTACTGGTACATAACCCCATTATAAGTCAAGAAGCACGTGGAGTAGGTACCTAGAAGCATTAAATGAAAACACACCTGAGTTGCATGTTCCAAAATCTTTACCAGTACAGAATCAGAACAGGAAAATAAGAAGTTAGTGGGATCTGGGAAACTCTCTTTTCTTATTCAAAAGCTATTCTGTTCTTCTAAGACTCTGACACCATATATTCTTACAATCAGTCTTAGAATCTAGATTTAGGACACTTAAGCCTCTTCTTTGTAGTTTTATTTTCTGTATTCCATACAAATGTACAAAGGAGATGAAGTCAACACTGAGGAGTCCGAGCTGTGGCGCATGAGTGAGTCATCTTTCAGCAGGTGTAGCCAGGCTGAGCCACAGAGGCCTGGACCGTGAAGACTGGACCTCGGGGCAGCCCTGCCAGGAGCCACTGGGTTTCATCCTGGCCTGACCCAGAAAAATCTTATGGAGGAGAACAAGAGGCCCAAGTGCTCTCTGATCTGCTGTCAACCAGCTGCAGCCCAGAGAGACTGCCAAAATGCGGCAGTGACTAGGCAGCGCCCTGTGGAGCGTCTGGGAGGGGATTACCAGCCTGATCCTCTCTCTTCAGAGCCAGAAATGACTCAAACTTCACAAACAGCCAGGGCCTGCCAGGGAGGGTGACAATGAGCGCTGGGGAGGATTTCTCCCCCTTTTTGGTGTCTCTTCCCCCCACTTGCTGCTGTGGCAGATTCTGGACAGTGTGCGGCCTGTGAGGTAATCTGAATTCCTTGGCAACCAGCAAGCACCTGAATTCTTTCAAAACCACAGGAATCCAGCAGAGAAAAGGTAAATATCCCTGCGGAGCCAGCGTTAATTAGCAAGGAAGGCTACTGAAGAAGGAACTGGGGGTGAGGAAGAAGGGAACAGCATTACAAATGCTTTAGGGTCTTTCCTGAATTCCCACTGAATCATGTGGCCAGGGCAGAAAAAAGTCAGATCCATCTGGTCCTTCTCTGGATCCCCTCTGTCTCCTACCTCTGCTGCATGGGTGGGACACTCTCATTTCCCCAGATGGGCACTTCCCTGTCCCCAAAGGTGCTAGTGCTACCTATCTCTGAGTCTCCCACAGCACATGTGGTTTTTAACTCTATTTTGTTTTAATTTTTTTAACATTTTATTTTTACTATTTCAGTGCAAATTTAGCTATTAGCTTTGTCTCCACCAAAAGCCTTTGTCAAATCATTTAAACCCCAGATTGGATCTACTTACAGCTGTAAAATCCAGGACAAAGTCTTTTTGGATTCCACTTCTGACAGGAAAAAGAATTTCCACCATTTTGGTGAGAAAGGAACCCCTGTCTGGAAACTGAGTGTCCCCTGCTGGTGCTAAACAGCAACATACTTATATGATAGATAACTAAATTAGGTACAAATGTTATAGGCGATCAGACAGGGCTAGGCCCTCAAGGGAGTCAGTGCAGAAGTTGAGAACACATTACAACCGTAGCTGGAGGTTTACCTCTCAAAGGCCAGGCCTCAAAATAAAGATGCAATGACCAGCCCTACATGCCTCCTCAAGAGATAAGCAATAAATTGAAGAGTATACTATAACTGGTATCACCTGGCCCAAAAAAGACCTGATAGACATCAATCACCCAACTGGGTGACCAGGACCTCCTGATCCATCCACTGGATCAATATTACCTAAGCAGCTATATTTATAATCTTATTGGCGGAGTGTAGTTTTCACCCACGTTGTACTCACTTCCTGATTTTGCTCTATAAAACTTCCTCTGAAAAGTGGGCTCATTGGCAACCCACTTTTGGGTCCCCTCCTGTCTCTCAGGAGCTATCACTCTCTATACATTTTTCCTATTTTTAACTTCTGTTTTCCTGGAATTTGTTCTTCAGTTTTGCAGAATGCAAACTCGGCATACCTGACACCAAACAGGTTGGAGTTACATTTGTTTCCCCTATATCACTTGGAAGCTCTGAGGCAGGGTGACCTGTGCAGTGCTACTCTGGAGCACAAGACGGGAGCCAAATACCAGGAAGGTGACTGCATTTGGACACCACCTCAGCATTTTACCCACAGAAGAAAAGTCTTTCTACTCCTGTTGTGGCTAAAACAAAGCCAAGTGAAATCTATAAAGAAACTGCATTCTTTCTCTTTAGTTTCAGAAGCTAAAAAATTTACACAAAATGACTTATTTCACAAAACGGTCTCATGAAATGCACTGTCTGTCATCTGGCACTAACGTGAAGCCCCAACAGAAATGATAGTGATGTAGGAGCCTTCCTTTCTAAAGAAGGAAACTAATTATTTTTGCCTTCAGTTCTGTCTCTTTAGGAAAGATTATGGTTTTCCTTGTTAAGCCTCAAAGTAAAACGACCTAGTGATCTCATCTCATGCTGATTGTCCTCAGTTATGTCTACATAAAACACATGTGACCTAAGATTACTAGAAGCTGCAGAGCTGGAGGAGCTATAGACTATTGTTGAACGTAATGATACAGTCGAGCACACTCTGAGGATTAAAAAGCAGGCGTGTGCCAGACACACAGTGAGTAAAGATGGGGAACTTGGGTACTTCAGAATGATCGCACAGAACAATGTACCCTCGAAGGACTCTGGGAAACAGCTTGTCACACTGCCATGTACCATCCTTCGGTAAAGTTTTTATATTCACCTATACCTTTGGAAAAACCTTGCCGAAGCCCTGAAAAAAATCCATGTTTCTGTTTGTTTGTTTTTTGGGTCAGTGCGGTCTGAGTATTTTAAAAGCTCTTTTCTAATTATTCTGATAAAATCAGCCACTGGTTAAATACTGTATTTTAGTTCCTACTGGAAGCAAGAGAAGAGTTACTCCATTTAGTGGGTTCTGATAAACAACACACAAGCTGCAGTCAAAGCATTTACATATCTGTAGTAAACTCTAATAAAATGTTAGTATTGCTCTCACTTTGTGCTGGAAACCACACAGGTCTTTATGCCAAATTTTATCCACAGGGTGGGCAAAATATGCTTGAAATATTATGCAAAACATACTGGTATGATATCCTCAAGACACAGTACACATGAAGTGCCTTGACATCTTTTCTCTATATCAGAAGTCCAATTTATGGCAGGACATAATACCCAAGCATGTCAAAGAAGACAAGCTAAGGTGAGAATGAGTGGAAGAAGAAAAATGCAGAAGATCATGATAAAAAAAAAAAAAAAGACAAAAAGCTCAGAAGTTTCCAATTACAAAAAACCTGCTGTCTTCAGCCCTTATATCCCTGAGCAGAAATTAGGGGTATATCTTACCTTCTTTTTGTCGTAGACAATATAGGAACTAGGCTTTTATACTTAGTCTTATCTATCTCAGCTCCCAAGAATGTGAGCCTATGTGTCTACAATCACTATAGAAAACTTTCCTGTGAAGACTTGGTTAGAGCTAATAGACAGTTTCTGCTTAGATGCCAACTGGAAAATGTTTTCATTTTCCTCTTTCTCCATTTTCAAGGGAAGAGTCCAGAACTACGGAGTCTCAGTAGCTTCCAGTGTTCCCAGGGCCCAAACTCCAAAATCTTAGTTAAGAATATGACAGGCCTTATAAATGCTGTCATCGCCACCTAGAGGTGAAGGGAAGACATTGCTCAACCAGTTGGAAGCTTTGGTCTGTGCTCTCTGGATTTATCAAAGGAAGTAAGTATATAAACAAATTAAAATATCACTCAAGTCAGGCACAGTGGCACACACCTGTAATCTCAACATTCTGGGGAGCTGGTGCAGGAATACAACAAGTTTGAGACTAACCCGAACAATTTAGCGAGGCTTTGTCTGAAAATAAAAATTAAAATGGGCTGGGATGTAGTTCTAATCTCCAGTACTGAAAAACTACTAAAAAATTTAGTTATCAGAATATAATAACATGTACTAAAGCCCTTCCACCTAAATGGGAATACTAAATCAGGTTCTGCGCGGGCAGAGATTGTATCTATTTTCTGCATTGCCTGTACACACATACATAACTCTTTATTCATGGTATTTTCTACCTTCAAATTGCATTTTCTAAATAAAGAAATATGCTTTTCAGCTTGCCATGACTGCTCACAGATGCAAACTACCCCTAAGCCGCTATGCTCTACAACACACAGGCCACTGCACACAAGAACTTCAGGGCAAACAGGTAGGAAAGAAGGAATGGAAGGAGGGAAAGGAGGGGAAGGTGTGAAAAAGGAAGGAGGATAGTTTTATGGTGGAAAGGAAAACCAAACATAGCAAAGTTATGTACTTATTTTAAATGATTTAAAGTTTTATAGAAACATTATCATCTGTAAAATTCTATATGAACATGAGAAACAAAACTTCAGGTTATTATAGCTTGAACTTAATTTTGCAAGTTGCATTATCTTAAAACCTATAAACCACCTCAAGAAGAAAACCATGTATACATGACCACTGCAAAGTGTATAACTTACACCCTAAATATGAGAGAGCATGAACAGTTCAGTTGCTGAGATCCAATCTCTGCTCCACTCCCAACCCCAGCTGGGTGGTCTCAGAAAGCAACATGAAGCCGCCTGACCTCTCTAAGACTCAGTTTCTTCAACTGCAAAAATGCATCAACTATAAGACTGTTGTGAGGATGAAAATAAATGCCTGGTATGTGGCAGGTAAATAAATACGGTATTTGATTTTTCTATCTAACTCTATTCTGAAAAACTATGGCAAATTACTACCCTCACTCTTCATACCATTGTCACTGCATGGAAATAGCCTATGACCTAGATCACTGCTGGGCATGGTAACATTGACACAATCTTTGTGTCGGTGTGAAAGCAAGAATGCTCAGCATTGAGACTACCTTCTGTCATCAGAAGCCCACCTGGGTGTATTCTGCTTTCCTGAAAGAAACAGCCTAATCTTTTTGAACGTTCTTTCATGGGTCAGCTCTAATATACCCTAGTGAGCCCTCCAATCAAACACAAAGTGCCTTACCTAGCCAATCCTTCTTCGTAGAGATAGATGACAAGAGGATCATAGGAAGTCACAAGCACATACAGGCGCACATCAAACTTGAAATCTGGGGAAAAAAAAGTTTGGATACACAGGAAAAACTGAATTCTTTTGAGAATGAATAGGACAATGTAAATAAGAATTATCAAAGAAAGAACACTCCTCTTCATAAGAAGGACACACTACCCACCCACAATCTTCCCTTTTACAGATAAATAAGAAGTGTACTATATTACTATATGTATATATATTCACTGTTTTCATATAGTATCAATGGGTGTGTAGCCTATGACACATTTGGGGAGAGAGTGGTGCTGGAGGTTGAACCAAGGGCCTTTGCATTGAGTTACAGAGTCTCACTAATTTGTTAAGTTTCCCAGGCTGGTCTTGAACTCTGTTTTTTTTGTAGCAGGGATCAAACTCAGGACATTGCACTTGCAAGGCGGTACAGCGCTGCTGAGCTAAATCCCCGGCCCCTGGGCTTGAATTCCTGATCCTCCTGCCTCACCTTCCCAGGGTGCTAGGAGTATAGATGTGTGCCGTCATGCCCGGCAGCACTTTCTCTTACATTATCTTATTTCATCTTCAAAATAATCCCTGATGGTAGGTAAGAAACTGGCCTCATCTCTGAAGCCAGAGATGTCAAGAATTTCATACTAGTTTTAAAAACACTTACTAGAGAAGACCATGAAGAGGTTAAAAAGTTTAGAGGGATCTAGTCAATATAGTCAATATAGTCAAGAGTCTTAATCACCACTCACCATCAATAAGCAGGGGGTTGTTAATGTAACGGGAGACCAGGATGTTCTCTTCCAGGGATATCTGGTTTGGCTATTGAGTAAACAGAAAGAATAAAAGGGTAGACGTGCAAAGGAATTCTAATTTATAATAAAGGAGCAAAGTTCTTAACCTTTTAAGAAATAATGTGGAAAACTAAAACTCTAGGAAACGTTTTCCTCTGGGTACCCAAATATTCAATTGGCCATGTAACAGCCCACTTCTATAAACACTATGGGTATTCAATTACAATGGGGGAAAAGAAATTTACACAGCATCTCACATAATAAATACCGCTTAAACAGCTTTAAAGATTTATAAACATGATATTAAATAATTATATGTCAAGAAAACAAGAGCTACTTAAAAAAATAAAAATTTGCTCCTTCCAAAAGGTAAAGTACAATGAAAATGTAAAAAACACTAGAACTGTTCATAAATACAGGCTTTCATTGAGTTGTTTAGAGAACATGCAGCTCTCTCCTGGGTCCCAGCATTTCCTCTGTGAAATGGGTTGGGGGTCTGGTTGATTCACTTAAGGGTACTTGATAAGCAACTGTGTACAAAAACTGAATTAGATATTTTAAAGATTTCATCAATGAAGAAAAGTTGTTTATACAATAAAGAGTGGGTGCTGCTGGACACAATACAAGGCACTGGGGGATACAGTGATGGAGAAATCAAGTACAATCTTGGTCCTCATAGAACATAAGATTTAGCAGTCCTATCTCCCAACAGTTTAATATTTAGGTAGAGGAACAGCAAAGCCTATAATCTAGAAAACCATAGAGCAGCAATTCTTCAAATGTAAGATGTCAGGTTGCCAAGTGGATCAGGAGGTGGGACCACCTGCCCAGGAAGAAGTGAGTGTTGAAAGCTACCATGCACGAGATGGGGAAGAAAGGGGGCGATGGATGGCCCACAAAATCCTGTACAAAGGAGGACAGGCTGATTCATGGGCCTATGGCTAAAGATTGAACTGAGAAATAATCAAAGGGGGTGGTTAGACAGCTAGGAAAAGGGACCCAATTGGCAAAGGGTCCTAAATACTTGTCAAAAGAAGTTCGCTTCAAAATGGTGGGAAGCAGGAAGTTGTTACGGATTCTAGATTAAGAAAACAGTAGAAGAAAATATCAGAAATCGAATACCTCTATTCATAATTAAGACAGAGAAATCAGCTGCAAGCATGCAGGACAAAAGAGCTCCAAAAGGTAAGTGGCAATGAACAATTATGATGATAATAGTTACAGAAGCAGCTCAGAAATAATTGTTAACATTTGCAGAAAAGAAATTTAGTAAGTGTACTATTATTTACTATGAGCCGAGAGGGCTGTTCTAAGTGTCACAAACATGATTTGATTTAATCCTGACCTAACCCTATGGGGCAGGTATATCACCCTCCCCATTTTAGAGATGAAGAAAGAATCAGGTTAGGGACTCCTCAAAGTCATACAGCTAACAAGCAATAAAGCAGCGTTGGTGCCCCGAGAGTCTGCCTCAGAGGTTTAACTTTTTAGCACTATTTGTAGTTCCCCCCAACATTGTCCTCCAAGTTCAAAAGGTTTTCTTTGTAATACAAGTTTACAAAAGAAAAGTGTTTCCCATTCCAAATACTAGTTACTTATAAAATAAAGATAATTTTAGAAACCATAACATTACGCACAACCACAATGAGCAACTCTGGAATCATGGCAGTGAGACTCTCCCTCTCCTTTCTCACTGTTGATATCTCAGAGTCAAAAGGCAGCTTCACATCCCATCACTCTGTAACATCTGAACACGACACCATCAGTACTGATTCATCCCTAATGGACTTAGCTACCACACTGTTTCCTGACTCCCTTGCATTTGTCGATCAGCTTCTCACAAGTACTAGCTCCATCTTGAGTCAGCTTAGTGAATAAGAATCGATGCAATCATTGTACAAAGCAGTAAGCTGTAGGCTGTGTTCCAAACCTAAAATTAATCCATCACAGCTGTCTTCCAAGTGAGTAACCCTAAATGCTACAATAGATATGTGACCACCCAACTCTGCTCTTTCCCACAGGGCACACCGGCCTTTGCTCCATGACACATCTAATGCCCAGTTCCATTTCGCTTTTTCCATCCTCATTGTACTCATTTATCCATTGAGTTATGCATAACACAAACCCTTTCATTATTTAAGTAACTTTAATGTCTGTTCTACTGTCTTTACCTCTCATTTCTATCTGCTTTAGGAATTAAATTGTAAGCTCACAAAACAAAAGGGCAACTGGGTCTGTACAGCTTAGTGTTGTACACAGAAGAACGACTAATGGAAGCTTTTGTACATCCTTAGGCCTATTTCCTTTACATTAATGCTCAGTTAACTCATTTCAAATTACTTCAATTTCAAGCTCAAGTTCCTTTCATAGAGGCAATAAAGCAGATATCTGAACAGCTGGAGAAGTTGGAAACACATTCCTTTTTCTAACTGGACCTTAATATTAAAGCTTATAGTGTCTGGTAAGTTATTGTACAGTAGAATGGTACAGTGGTTAAGAGTGTATATTCTGGAGTCAGCTAGACCTGAGTTACCACCTTGACTCTACCACTTACTAAAAAAATGATACTAACCACCTCATAGGTTTCTTATAAACATTAAATAGAATTAAATAAAATTATACTTGGAAAACACAGTGGCATGGACATGTTAAAGGGTCAAGAGATATCAGTCATTATTATTACTGCAAACTCAAGAGTTATCTGTGTGGTTCTAACTACTCAATTCCACAACTCAACAGCATTCACCACTGCATCCCACGTGCCATTCTACTCAGAGTAGTACACTGAAGTACAATGAAGCAATGAAAGGGTTAGGAGAATTTCTCAAAAGGTTTTGAGGAGTGATAGCACCTGGCACAAGCAGGTACTTCCTGAGTATCTAGTGAACAATGAGAAAAAGGAAGAATGTAAGACAAAAACACAAAGAGAGACACAAGGGAGTACAGAAATAAATTCACACATACACACACACACACACACACACACACACACACGCACACACACACAGAAGTGACAAGAATGACCCCACACTCTCTGGTACCCCAAGATCTCAGGGAATACTTAATACTACATTTGCCCTGGGTAACATGTGAGGCAAGAACAGCTGGGCTGGACTACCAGTATCAAATTCATGCCTTATTCAGAAAACACCAGGTCCTTCCCTTCCATGACTTGAATACAGTAAATTGGGAAAACAGGGCATTTAGCCACAGTTTCTGAAGGAGCTGGAGCAAACATAGCTTTGAGCTTTTCTAGAGTTAAAGAACACACTGTTAAGAGGCCTGGTCAGCAAACCAACAAAGATGCGTCCATTCCACCCGTCGGAGTCTGCACTGCTCTCTTCAGTATTACATAAAAGTAATGCTTTTTCTATCCTTTATTCTGTTCTCCTTATGGTAAAAGTTGCTATTTGCGAATATTTTCCAAAAGGTTATGACTACTACAGGGCAGTTTTAATAAGAGACCCTCACCTGCCAGTGGGCAGATGGGGAAAGATGTTTGCGTTTGGCACACACACCTAACTCCATCCTGGCTGCCAATGCCCCTCCCTCTCTCCCTCACACTGGTTCTGCACACAGACTCTCTGCCTGAGCACTCTCTCCCTCCCCTGCAAGTCTGAAAGGAAAGCAGGCAGTGGCCCTGGAAAGAGTTACTTCATCTGACTGGCTAATGGGTCACATATTCCACGAGACAGGGTCCAGGTATGGAAAAGAGGGATGGTCAGGCCTTCTGTGTGAGGAGAAAGAGGAGCATTAACAACACAGGTCTGGGTGAAAGGTGATAAAATTCCAGTTTTGGGGTGAAGTGGGAATAGGTTCCCCTTAGGTCCACATGTTGCCAGCTCCCCTTGTGCCCGCTGGCATCTTCCCAGGCTTCTGTCTGGCACCTCCTCTAAATATCTAAAAGAATCAGAATCAGTCCAAAGCTTCACTGAGGGGGAGGGGAAGGCAAAAGGTCCTGCCAAGTGCTTTGATCTATGCAGGGGGTCTCGAGGGATTCAGCCCAGTGAGAGGTGGGAGAGAGAAAGAGACTCTGACTCTTACATAGCCTGCCAAATGTGCATTCTCCACAGACGTGTCATTCCCTTTATGGGCCTCAGCACTAGGGAAGAGTCAGGGCATGGGGTTCTCAGTCCCACCAAGAAAAGTTTAACTTTTCTATTCTTTGTGATGTTAGCTTTAAGGGAACAAATCACTAGGGCAAAAGAGCATTCCAAAAGGAAAAAAAGTGCCAGATGAGCTGGGAATCGATCCTACTCTTTTTGACTCATGTCTAAGAAAATAAAAAGGAAACTTGTGCCATAGTTGACTTTCAATAGCAATTCCATTTGGCAGCTAAAACCCAAACCCAAACTAGAGCCATCTATGAGAGTCAAACAACTTTGGAGCTCTTGGCACAGTGCTGAAGGAATGGCTGTCGGACGGGAGTTTTATGCCAAGGTCAGAGAGACAAGGATAGAGCCAAGACATGTGACCAGGTTTTATGTCACATGAGATCCAGGGTGAAAGGCCTCCAGAGAGATCCAGGCCAGGTAAGAGGACTTGTAACTGGGGCCTGGAACTGTAGTATTTGGTCTATTAGAACCAGATCCTCTGTTTATTCAGCGCGAAAGGACTGGTCATCATTGTTTACTGTATAGCTGTGAGTCCAGGCTGCATGTGAGGAATTTCCAAAGTAAAAGACTCCTCAGAAAGTTTGTTTCTGCACACATAGGAAATAGTTCAATGTGCAAAGATAAGTGGATAATTTAAGATGGAGTACTTGCCACACACACATCATATCTATCCCCACTTACCCTTTTCTTGGAAGGACAGAAAGAATATTTTCAAAAGAAAGAAATGATAACAAGGCTAGAAAAAAAAAAAGGAAAAGGAGCCAGAACAGACCAAAAGTTTAAGCAATTCCTAAAGACAGAGAGCAGTGAGGATCAGGTTGGAAAAACAGAGTAGAGGAAGCCCTACCCCAAGACATCAGAGGGGACAGCGATTGCCCCAAGGATCCCTACAAAGTGCCAGGCAATGGGCTAAGGAACAAGAATCAAATCATTAATTCACACAGCACAGGGGATGATCTGGTGGTTCAATTTTAGACCCCAATGGTATAAAATCTATTTCTATTGAGCTTAATTTATTTCACTCACCTTATAAAGAAGATAAGCTGATTTGTGGTTATTGAAAAGAACTGTAAATATTTTAACACTTTAAAAATAATATAAAAACATAAGAGATGGAATGTGGACAGGCAGGCAGGAGGTGATGTGATTATAATAAATGGCAAACTGGACACTGACCACGTCATATAAAGTTGACAAAAAAAGAAATCAACTATATGAAGTCAATATTTACTGTGGCAAGTCTAGAGAGTGAGATTCGAGTTGGGATTTTATTTATTCTGTATAAGTATTAAATTTTAAAAGAACAGTTAATGAAAATTTTGCAAAGAATCAAGATATTGATGGCTTTTGAAAAGAAGAGGGTGAGCAAGGGGAACAGGAAGGAGGGAGGGGAGGAAGGGAAAAGGAGGGAAAAGGAGCAGCAGCAGGATGCCGGGCCAAATGGAGGTCAACTGGCTAGACAACTCTGAAATTGGGGATCTGGGGCTGTGCTCAGCTAGAGGCACATGACACCAGCTGATGCTCTGTGCAGAGAGCCAACAGGACTCAAAAGGCTGCCCTCCCCCAAATCTGATCAAGTGGCGCTTTTTTGTGCAGGTACTGGGGATTAAACCCAGGGCCTTTGCACTGCACTATATCCTCAGTCTTTTTTATTTTTTAAGACAAGGTCTCACTAAGTTTCTAAATTGCTCAGGCTGGGCTTGAAATTGAAATTCTCCTGACTCAGCTTCCCAGTGTGCTGGGATTAAATGTAGTGGTTACCCATTGACAAAAAGGGATTAAGAGGCCAGAGAGTTAGCTCAGTGGTTCCACCACCTGCCCTGCAAGCGCAAAGACCCAAGTTGGATCCCCAGTACCAAAAAAAAGGGGGGGGGGCAGTGTTTAAAACCTTTAACAACAAACTCTCCCATGAAAGTGATCCTGACCAGCACATACTGAACAGTCATAAGACAGTACAGTAATGCTGACTAAAAACCACACAAGATAAAAACAAACTTTTGATGTAAGATCCATTCATTCCTCCCTATGAACTCAACCCATCTTCTCTAAAAGTTAATGTGCATAGAGTTCCTTACCTAAAGATAACAGGCTTTCTGTGAGGCTGGAGGAAATGGTCTTGTCAGTTGTAATTTCCCCCACATCCTCAAATCCTTATGACAGTCCTGTGTCTCACCCTCACGGTGCGATTCCTATCTTGGAAACACGCCCACTCTCTCGTCTTACTTATTCTTGTCTTGGTAAATTGTTTTACTGCCCACGTCATCAGCCCTTCGTGGCATTTTTCAAGTAAGCGTCTTTTTGACTATGAAGTGTTCTGTCTGGCCTGGGAAGACGTTACTGTCAGTAGGGTGAACAACAGCTGACTCACTTCAGACTGCACATTTCAGAAGGGAATACCTGCTCTTTGAGAGAAGGAACCACTTGAGTATCACGTCCGAATCTTCTGCATACTTACACTGTTGATCAGGTAGACGCCCCGCCCCCTAGAAGAGGCCACTGGTTTTACTATCCAAGGTCCCCGGTCCTTAGAGTATGAATCTGCTCAAAATATTCACAAATAAAAAGAGGGAGAGAAAAACAAAGAAGGAATATGAGTTTATTATCTTAAATTTCAACAATTAATCAATTATCTATTCAGGTACCCCAAAATTCTTCCAAATTTCTAGTTGGAGGGCAGCAGCTGAAATTCATCTGTACTTTTGTACTAATCTTAAAAAGGAAAGGGGTGGGAAGGAGAAAAGGGGATAGCAAAATTACTCACATAATTATTTCTTCAACCATTTCCCCTCTTTCTTAAATGAGAAGATGAAAACAAAACAAGGCAAAATCTGGGTGTCAATTACTGTTGACAACCTTCAGGAATCTTTCAAATTCTCACCTCTGTTGATTAAGGGAGCTTTAGGCAACAGTGACAAGGTAACTCAAAAGTTCGATCTCCTAATACAGTTACGTTCCTTAAATTAGCAATCCCCAGCCTTGGGACCAGTTTTGTGGGAGACAATTTTTCCATGGGGAAAAGACAGACACAGTGTTGCTCACCTCCCACATGTGACCCCTGCTAAAGAATTCCTCGGAGCTTCTAAGGAAAAATGACCTTCTTTAAATCAAACAAACTGCAAGAGGCAAGGAAGTGCAATAATTTACAAGTGAGAGTAAGAAGCATTTGCTTCAATTTCTTCTCCAGGTTCAGCTTATACTTTAAATAACTTTGTGTCCCAAGAAGAAAAAGCAGACAACCGATACTAAGATTCCCAAAGGCTTGCACATGATGGGAAAGAGGCAATGGCTCTCCCTTCCAGTTAGGGACTGTTGGAGGACAGCGGAGACAAGCAAGGCTGGAGGCTCCGGTGCTGCTGTGTTCTTAGCCCCTGCCTGGAGAGCGGAGTAACTAGTCCTAGCCTTGGACTCTTCCCTTTCCCATTCAGATCAAACACCTCAGATGGCTGATGGCTACAAAGCAGGTGGGAAAAGTGAAAGATGAGGCCAGGCGTGGTGGTGCACGCCTGTGATCCCAGCATGTGGGAGGCTGAGGCAGGAGGATCACCATGAGTTCGAGGCCAGCATGAACTACATAATGAGTTCAAGGCCAGCATGAACTACATACTGAGACCCTGTCTCTAAAAAAAAAAAAAAAATGATGAAAATTAAGATGCTTATTTTTTCTTTTTCTTTTTTTTTTGGTACTGGGGATCGAACTCAGGACCTTGTGCTTACAAGGCAGGCACGATGCCACTGAGCTACATCCCCAGCCCAAGATGCTTATTTTTTCTTGAGATTTTTCTTCTCTGAAAGAAGAGAGGGAAAGAAGATGTGTAGAGAAATCAAATAAACATAAGAGTTTCTCAACAGATCTCACACGGCTTTCTTTTTGCACAGTACCTAGTTCACTGTGCATCAGGATATTAGCACTGCTTTATCTAGAACACAGCACCATAAATCCACTCAAGTTCCTGAAGCTCTGTTTCTCCCTGCAAGGACTTCCACCTGGGTGCCACCTGGCTCCTCCCTTCCCGGAATGAGCTCACAAACTGCCCCTACCCTAAATCGGGCCCAGGCCGGGCAGCAGAACCAACCATCTTGGCTCAGCACCTCTCCCCAGGTCACACGCCAGCAACTACTGCCTCCTTTTCCTCCCTCTCCCTTGGACAGGAGCCAGTTTCTCAGAGGCCTCCCAAAATGAACCTGACTTTATCAGTGCCATGAACTATTTCACCAGGAGGAGGGGAAAAAAGGCTTTTGTCCACTCTCTCTCATCTTCCCTTGCCTTTTTCCTTGATACAATTTAACAGAATTAGAAAAAAATGTAACGTGCCTCACAGACTCTAAAGCTCTACAAGTAGTTCTACTTCGAGAATTGTTTCCTCTAGTTCTAGTCTCACGTGTGTGAAATGTGGTATGCACAAGATTATACAGTGCTGCATTAGGATAGCAAAACATTAATTAAATATACTATAGCACATCTACAGAGGAGTCAGCAAATTGCTTTTGTAAAAAGCCAGACCATAAATATTTTAGGATCTGAGGGGATGCAAGATGTGTTGCAAGTGCTCAGCCCTACCACTGCAGCTTGACAACAGACAATGGGTAAACAAAGGGTGTGCTGTGTTTCCATAAAATTTTACTTAAAGACATTGAAACTCATATCATTTCCACATACCACAAAATTTTATTCTTTTTTTTCAACCATTTAAAAATTAAAAATCGTTGGGTGTGGTAGCACATGCCTATAATCCCAGCACTTGGGAGGCTGAGGCAGGAGGATCACCATGAGTTCAAGGCCACCCTGAACCACATAGTGAGTCTCAAAAACACCTAAATAAATATGTAAAAAATCATTTTTAGTTCATGGGGTTTCCAAAAAGACACAGGACTGATCTGACTCAAAGGATGTTAGTCTGCAGACACTTGATCTTTACAATAGAATATTAATTAACTACTGTACAGAATGATCTCCTAGAGAGCCTGTTAAATAAACAAAAGGATAGCAGGAGGCAATGGTTATCAGGTAAATCCTGTTTACATTCATATATACGCTACTTGCTAGTAAATGCCAAGAACAGCTCTAGAAAGACAGGCATAAAACTAGGAAGACAACTGGCCCTAAAGAAGAGAAATGAGGGCTGGGGATTTAGCTCAGTGGTACCATGCCTGACCAGCAAGCGGAAGGTCCTGAGTTCGATCCCCAGTACTGCAAAAAAAAAAAAGAGGAGAAATGAGTGACTAAGAAACATGAAGAGAAAGGATGCGTTTCAACAATTAGTGCTTTCTATATTTTTGTGCCATGGAAAAAAACGTAATTTATTTAATTTTAAAGCGCTGCTACAGAAAAGTTTTTTATAGTTACAGGTGACAAAAAATTAAATCTCCATAATTAAGGCCACTGAATATATGTATTTTTTTATTTTTCCATTTTCCTCAATGGATTGAGCACAGAAGCTATTAAGATATACAAAAATTTTAAAGATTTCTAAACTTCCTTCATTAGCTCCATAGTTCTAAGTATCAAATCTGCATTAATTCGTTTGCTAGGTGGTGGGGTACATAGTAATGAAAAAGACAGGCTTTGCCCTCATGAAGATTAAACTAGCAGAAAAGACAGATATTAAACAAGTAATCACAAACACAGAATTATGAACTATCAGGTGCTATAAAAATGTTTTAAGAAAATGACCAAGCTTGTCTGGAGACGGTACCCTCCTCAGTGACAGCCATATGTACAATACTCTCGTTTTCAGCAAGGGTTAAAACCTAGCTGCATGCAATTTTTGCACTTGACATTATTGATTAATCAATCCCCTCTAATGAGAGGAACTTCTCATCAGAAGTTCAGTTCACGGTTCTTAGCGGACATGTTGGTATACACCTGTAAGGAGCTGAGGCAGAAGGATCACTGTGAGTTCCAGGTCAGCCTGGGATACATAGTGAGTTCAAGGCCAGCCTGTCTCAAAAAAAAAAGCAGCAGCTCATAATTCTTCTGCTGCTTTACTGTTACCATGTTCTTGAAATTCTAAATATCAAAGATTTGTCTTCTATACTGGGCTTGCACATTAATTTCCAATACTACAGAACAAAGATCAGTTTCTTTCACAGGTGCTAAAACAAAATGTGGTTGGGACACAAGAAAAACCAGAGGAGAAGACAGGGCAGAGGTCAAGACAGGGCAGAGGTCTAGGCAGTTTGCCTGGATGTAGATGTTCTAGGAAAGTTCTGGAACTCTTTCCACTGTCTTCTGGTCTGACACGTAATGTGTTTGGTCTAACAGAAAGAAAACTAAACCAGAAGTAGAAAGGTCTGCATTCTGATTCCTGCTTTTCAAGTATATGACACCACGGGCAATTTGCTTAACCTAGTCTAATCATTAAAATGAAGGGCTTCGTTGGATTTGCTAAGATCTCTTATAATTCTAAAATTATGATTGTAGGAATTTCCAGGCATCTGCAACCAACTTACATCAAAATTTCATTCATATCTTAGAATCATTTCTCAGCCTTTCTTGTAACTAGAGATGGCCATGGGACACAATTCTGGGGAAAGTTTACCTTCTATATAGGTGCCCCTCCCACCAGTATAGAGGATAGGGCATGAGGATTGCTCAGAGACACTAGGGACACCAGCCAAAGTGCTCTCATGAGCCGAAGCTTTTTGTCTTAAGAAAAAACCTTAAATCCACCTACATCAAGATCTAGCCCAGCAACAAACCACTGTCTCCAGACATACAAAGGCCTGGATGCTTCCCAAACCATTCCCAGTAACTAGAGTATGGGAGTTGGAACACACAGCACAGGACCTTCTAGGCTCCTGGAGCCATCACTGCCACTCACCTCTTCTTTGTTGCTTCCTTCTTTCTGCTTAGAAAGCTGCCCACTTAGGGGAAGTGACTAGAGTGGACAACAGATCCTTATTTGGGTTCACAGATCTTCAATTCCACTAAATATTGTCAGTGTTTATACTTACAGCTCATGAGAACACTTTGGCAGGTGTCCCTAGTGTCTTGAGACATCCTCATGCCTGATCCTCATCCATTCTCTTTCAAAGGCCCTTCAGGGGCTGTTCCAAGTCCAATCCCTTTCTGCCCCTTTCAGTCACTGAAATCCATACCTAGGCTTCTCACTCTCAGCACAGGTCCTCATTACCTTCCTCACCCAGAAGGCTGGGAACTCAAAACATAAACCTAACCTGTGTTCCTCTCCATCTAAAATTCTATCTGGGTCAGCACTTAGCATTCTTCCTTCCTTCCTTTTGGGAAGACATGTCCACCTCTCATTCTCAAGCTCCTGCCTCCCGAGACCTCTTCCATTGTTCCTCATCTCTCTCCCACCCGTTTTCTGTGGGGCTTCTGCTCTTTCTTTTCACTCCCTTAGCAAGCACTTCCATCAGCAACCTCCAGAATACATATCTCTGGCCAAACTCAAAGCTGCTTTACAACTACCTGCAATAATATCATTACGTGCTTGCCCTGGAGGCACCTCTGTACCGTGTCCAAATTTAACACTCCTCTCACCCCATAAAGGCTTCTACTCCTTTTGTTCCTTGTTATG